CTTAAGGACGGCAAGATCGCGACGAGCGAAGGAACGCTCTCGGGACTTCACCTCTAAAAGCGCCACCTCTTGCTAGGACAACTGCGCATCTAGCTGAGCGCGCTAAGCCCTTAAACGAGCGACCTTAAGCTCCTTCTACTCGCGCTCTTGTTGCACTTTCTCCCACTCTTCCTTAGAAACAAACAGACTGCACTTAGCTTTCACAGAAATACAACTAGCGCAACGCCTAGTGGCGGTATCTACGAAACAACGAAGGTTCTTCTCTTCACAACAAGAACAGCGATAAACGGTCATCTCGTTCCCCTGCTCTATTACACGATCAGCACGGGAATAACGCTCTTCGTTCGACTTTTGAGCGCGAACACGGGTACGGGAGGACGGGACCTTAGGCATAGTTAGGAAGGCTAGAGAAAAGGGACGGATATAATGGTTTATAACTAACTAAGCTACTAGATAGGTACTATCTAGTATAGAAGCTTAGTATTTTATTTCAGGCGAGCTAGTAGCCTTTAAGGCACTTATACTATTACTATATAACGTACTACACTAGTGAGGCGGCCAAACCAGTGAGCCGGCCACTTTTTCTTGGCACTGCGAACACGACAAAGAATACATTATGTCTCTACAACGTAACGCTATCTTATTGTATAAAGAAGGCAAAATCAACCTTACGCTTTAGGCCTTTACTACTAGCTAATTTAAGACCTTACAACGTGCTATAGCAGCCTATAGCGTACAATATTAGCGGCTCTCTAATTAGCTTTGTAGAATTACTAATTAACTTAATACACAACCTAGAGTCTAGAAGCTTACTATAGCAGAGAAATAGACTAACGTGTTTCACCAGTAAGCGGGCCACCCCAGTATGTGGGCCACTTCCCTATGATATCCCACCTTTGCAACAACAACGCGTAATGTCTCAACAACGCAACGCGTTAAAACCTTATACTAAAGCAGATCTATTTCTTGCTATTACTAATCTTGATTCTAAATAAATTTAGAGTGAACGACGCGCTGCTGCCGCCTATAGCGTCCCACGAACAACAATCCAGCGTCGACGAGCTGGACAGCGCCCTCGAAGCGATTGGGAGCCACCAGCAAGGCGCCTAACAAAACTAGAAGAGGAGGCTATTACTATGCGTGTAATAGTCGAGGCTGAGCGAGGACTACCCTGTGGGAAAGACGACGTGCGAGATATGGCCAACAGACTGCTCCGAGAGCGTGGCGGGAAGGAGGTGGGCAAGAACTGGGTTGATAGGTTTGTCCAGCGCAATCCTAAGCTGCGTACGCGCCGGAGCCGTCCATACGATCACCAGCGAGCTCTCTACGAAGACCTAGCGCTTATTAAGGGCTAGTTTGAGCTAGTTCAGAATATAAAGGCAAAGTATGGTATCGTGGACGAAGATATCTATAACTTTGATAAGACTGGCTTTATTATAGGCAAGATTTTATCACAGTTAGTTATCACGGGCTTAGACAAACTAGGGAGAACAAAGAAGATCCAGCCAGGCAATCGTGAGTGGGTTACGCTAATACAAGGCGTTGGCGCAACAGGCACGCGTATCCTAGCGTTTCTTATCTTCGCTAGCAAGGTTCTGATCTCTACCTAGTTCACAGAGGATCTGCCACGCGACTGGGTGATCCAAGTTAGTCCTACCAGCTGGACGAACAACGATCTAGCGCTTGACTAGCTTCGTCACTTTGATTCCCATGCGCGGCCTGTGGGGACGCATAGGCTGCTTATTATTGACGGCCATGAGAGCCACTGCTCGGTGGATTTCCGAGATCTCTGCGAAGAGATGAAGATAATCCTCCTCTGTATGCCTCCCCACTCGTCGCACCTCTTACAGCCTCTTGATGTGGGCTGCTTCTCGCCGTTAAAGCGCGCGTATGGTGATGCTATCTCGGTCTTAGCACGCAATCGCATCTACTATATTAGCAAAGAAACCTTCCTACTAGCGTTTAAAAAGGCATATTATAAGGCTATTACACCAGAAAATATCCGCGGAGGGTTCTAAGGTGCTGGACTTTCACCGCACGATTATAACGTTGTTTTATCACAGCTTAACGTCATGCTGCGTACGCCAACTCCACCAGCGCAAGAGACTACTACTTGGGAGCTAAAAACGCCGCGCAACGCGCGCGAAATAGAGGCGTAGGCTACGCTTATTCAAAACTGTATGCAAATCCAGCAAGGGTCTCCTACAAGTTCTCTTAAGGAGCAGATACAGCAGTTAAGTAAGGAAGCTTAGCAGATAGCTTATAATATAGTATTAATGCAGAAGAAACTTGATCGCCTTAAAGCTACGATTACTAAAGTAACGAAGCGAAAAACTCGTAAGAGGCGCTACGTACAGGCAGAGGGGTCCTAGACAGTTAGCTAGATAGCTAAATAGATCGCTAAGGCAGAGGGTAGTAGCTATAATAATAGTGCAACGTCTGCGAAGAGGGTGCGTAGTAAACGGCGCTGCGGGCGTTGCAGCCAAATTGGACACAACTCTCGCACTTGTTAAGTAGAATTAGAGGATATAGAGGATAGCAATGCGTCTAAAGAATAATATCTTATTCTACTTAATAAAAAATATTGTAGTGGTGTTGCGCAATACTATTACAAAGATGTAATAGTTTAAGGAGGTGGCCCACATACTGGGGTGGCCCGCTTACTAGTGAAACACGTTATTGTATAATACATTCTTAACCTTAACGCGCAAGGATTTGCGCCCTAGCTATATAAGGTGGTAGATATTGCTAATTAATTGCTAGCTACTTGTAGTAGGTGTTACACGGGGTTGGGCTATACTTCTCTGATCTCGATCCGGGTTAGGGCGAGTAGACTTAAGCGGTAAGCCGTGCGATTGTTGTCAGGCGTTATTGTGGAAAAGAGTTATAGGATTTAACCAAAAGGTAAACAATCAATTCTATACTAAGATAGAATAACAAGTATCAATCTGTGTAAGAGATGAACTATTCTAAGTTAACCACAACGAGTGTAATAATGAAATCCAACACATTCTTATACCCATTGCTTCAGGTCCTGTCCTCCTGTGCCTCCCATCTTGGCGGGAGGTTTGGGAGGCGCATGGCCTCCCATCCGCGCTGGCCTCCCGGAGGCCACGCCTTGGCGGGATGCCAAGTCACGTGATCCGCGCGCCCTGCGCTGATCATTACCCGGGTGTCCTTTGACACCTTTGTTTCCCTTAGGCTGACTCCGCAACCCTTTCATGGAAACCTGTTGAGAGGAATCCTTCCTGTTTGTTCGTAACAGTAGGGTACTGTTACACGGGGGTCGGCTATACTTCTCTGGTCTCGGTCCAGGTTAGGGCGAGTAGACTAAAGCGGTAGTCTGTGTGATTGTTTGCGAAGTGCTATGTGGAAAAGAGTTATAGGATTTAACTAAAAGAATGAACAATTAATTCTATACTAAGATAGAATAACTAGTATTAATTTGTGTAAGAGATGAACTATTCTGAAGTTGACCACAACAAGTGTAATAATGAAATCTAACCTATTCTTATACCTATTGCCTTAGGTCCTGCCATCCCGTCCATCCCATCTTCGTGTCCCTTGGCGGGATGGTTGGGATGGCCTGCCATCCCATGTCCTGCTGCCATCCCCATCTTGGCGGGATGTCCTGTCTTGGCGGGATGGCACATCACGTGACTCCAAGCCCCGCGATAGCCATTACCTTCTGACGTGGACGTGGTTGGCCTCTAACCCCGTCATCCTGCGTCAAGGAGAGAATCCTTCTTGTTACGAGTAACATTATCCCCTCTCTTAGGCGTATCGTCCTAATACCCTAGAATATCATTTTGCCGTGCCGCGTGTTGAAGCGCTGGCTGCATATAAGGTCAGTAGGCCCTAGGACTAGCGCTAAGTTATTATATTATAGTACTAACTCTATATAGTTTAGATATTGCGGAGCTAATGCAGCCCCCTAGCTTAGCGGGCTTATTAGTAGGTTAAATAACAAATTATCGGTAGGTTGTATAACCGCCGCCATTGATTACCCGGAGAGGGACATGCAAACATAGTTGGGCCTTGGTGGACCGCTGGGTGAGGGTCTGGGGTAGTACTGGGTTTATTCAGTCGAGGAGGGGTCCTGGGCAGCCTGTCCACCATGGCCATGACGTATCACGCAGAGCGGACGCTATCCGGCGGGCTGGCCGTTGAGCGTGAGACGAGATGGCTAGATGCATCGTGCTACCAGGGTCAAGGCGATCTTTTTTGATGGTCCCAGAGAGCGACAGCGGGCGGTGCTTGGCAGCAGCGCGCGATGCCGGGACGCGTGCGCGGCGCCAGGAGCGAGCAGGCTGGGTGCACGAAGAGGCGGCGGCTGGGTGTGCTCGCGGCGGCGGCATATTGGCGTCGTGGGCGTGGAGAGTGGCAGTTGAGGGTACCAGTACGGGGGGGAGGGAGGGAGGGAGGGAGGGAGGTGAGGTGAGATAAGGTTAGCGGCAGGTGGGGACAAGGCTCTTTCCAGAAGGCATGCGGGCCGGGCTTGGCAGACAGGGGTTATGCCGGTGCAAGCGTGGGAACCTGGGATTCTGACGTGCATCGCAACAGGACAGCAGCGACGAAATCCAGAGCCCCGCAAAGGCCGCTGACACTGGCGCTGGCTCTCGCGCTGGCTCTCGCTCTGGCTCTGCACAGCCCTCTCTCGTCTACTAGTGGCACGGCCAGACACAGACACGGTTCGCTCGCCTCCTCCGTCCGTCCCCTCCCTCCCCCCTCTCTCCCCCATCTCCCCGTCTCCTCACCCCATCGTTTCAACCGCTCCGCGAGCTAGTCGCCCCGTCCCGACTCTACCGCCGCCGCGCACCTTCACACCGACCCGCCAGCAACGCCCTCGATGCAGATGCTCCCCCTCCCGTAGCCCGGCGCTTCCCTCGATTATGTTCGGCCTCAGCAGTTTCCATCGTCCTCAGCACATGGCGTGCCGTCGCATCCAAACCCCCCAATAACACGCCAGCTGGTCCATGGCCTCTGGCTAAAGCACCACCATGGCCCTGCCCTCTCTGCAGTTCCTGGCGGGACTCGTGCTCCTGATATACCTCCTTTCTTTTGTTCTCTTCGCCTTTATTCGCATCGCCACCGGCGTCTCCATCCAGCGCCTGGGCCTCGGTGGCCTGCGACGCATTGCATTCACCCCCAAGGATGGCCTGCGCATCGAAATTCGCGGCCTCGGCTTTACCCTCCACCGACCCACCTTTGCCCAACCAACCATCGCCAGCATCGTCCTGCACGAGCTCAAGGTCACGGTAGATCTCAAGATCCTGGGCGAAAAGCCCCGGAAGAAGGCGGCATGGGCCCATTGGCCCAACGGGGCGACACAAAAGGGCAAGACGGGCCACTCCACCCCAGCCGATCCACCCACCGACGACGCCCATGGCGAGAAACCGAGGAGCTTGACGTGGAAGCGCCTGAACGAGGTCAAGGAGAAGATCAAGCGTCTGCATCGGAACATCAATTGGCTGCGCCAGGTCGACCTGATAGCCCACGCGACCTCGATTGTCATCGTCGACGTCGGCTCGCTGCACGTCGGCGGCTTGAACTTGGCCGTCGATACCAGAAGCAAGACGGTCGATCGCAGCAGACTCTTCAACCACCACAAAGCCAAGCTGGACGAGGAACAACGGCCTGCTGAGTGGCTCTTCTCGGCGCGCAGCGTCCTCTTCACCCCCGAGGGTAGGGAGTCGACCGAGTTGCTCGACAACTTCACACTCAACATCCATGGCTTTCTCAAAAAAGAGCTCGAAGGCCTGCGTGACGCTTCTATCGCTCTCAAGCTTGGCCGCCTCAGCATCCCGTACGACGACATCCAGCTGTGCCTAGACAGAGCCCGCAAATGCCGCGGCACCACCACCGCCTCCAGGAAGGCGTCCCGGCTCAGCCTAATTGAGACTTCGCTTGGCCATGTTGCAGAAGAACTCGACGTGTTAAGCAAAAATGAGGCAAATCTTGTTCGCGCCGTTTCCGACTCGCGAGAATTTGCCAGCTCCATCCTTCGCGGCATACACGAGTTCCAATTCGCCGTGGGCTTCCTCGGCCTCACAAAGCAGATCGACACTGGCCACAGCTCCGATCCCCCGGTCTATCTCAACGTTTCCATGAAAGAAGTTGGCATGGACCTGCTTCGCTTGGATCCTCGTAGCCCTGCGCATCTCATGTACTTTTCCCCTCATGATATTGCGCACCAAGCCCTCCTTGCCGCCATATCCATATCGGTGGGTATCGACAACAGCCACGGCCACCCTGAGCGTCTCCTTTACGTTCCAATGGCGACAACTACGCTAAACACAACCCTGCCTTCCAAAACCATCCACTTCTCCAACGACAAGGACACCGCAGAGCGCAACACGAATATCCTGTTCGCAAACTTGGTCGTCACGTCTCCCTCCGTCGATCTTGATCCTAAGCATCTCCCACTACTTGTTGCCATTTTCCACAGCTACCAGGCGCAGCGGAAGCCGAGAGAAGCACGAAATCGCAGGCGCCTTTTAATTCGTCGGCTCTTGCCCAAAGCCAACATCAAAATTTCAATTCACGAACCGGTCATTCGTGTCACTCTTCCTCCAATGGACCTCAATAAGCGCGACTCTGATGAGTTTGATCTACTCATCTCGGCTTCATCGTCTATATCTTTGGATATGGAATCATCTCACGCTCCAGGGGGCGACTTGAACTACGCGCTGAGCTCAACATTCCGCATGAATGCTCAGCAACTGTATTACCAAACAGCCGCAGTGGAAAAACACGACTTGCTATTGACCGACTATCTCGAAGTCAAGATACAGATGAGTGCTGCTCCCGATCCCGTTGTCGAAGTATGGGGCACAGCGCAAACTTTCTCGCTCTTTCTAGTGCGGCCTGAAATCAGCGAGGGACTGCGCCAAATCGTCTCACAAATGCAGAAGAACATGGGCCGACGGCGCGGTGCATATCAGAAGAGAGAACTCAATTTTTTGCGCAAGCTGCCAGCCTGGATGTCTTATGTGCATCTCCAAGGGTCAGACTTCAATGTGGAAGTGGCAGGGGTGGACCCTGCTGTGTCGAAGCACAGTCGCGGAGTCGCCCTGCACCTGGAGTCGTGGACAGCAGAGTACAAGCAGAATCGAGGAGATGACTTGGATCTTAAGCCAGTCAGACGACGAGCTCCAAGTCGAACAATCAATCGAGACGAGCATTTGCTTCGATCACCTCCTGCCGTTCCAAAGACACCCAAGATATCCTCGGGTGATCCAACGGACGGAAGACGGCTTGCTATACATTTCAACGGACTGGAAGGAATCGTTATCGAAGCGGACGACCAATCAGAGCAGGAGCCGACGTTGTCATTACCTCGTATGGAAATCGCTCTCCAGACACTCTCCGATAAACAAGGCCCAATCTTCCATGTTCACGCGTACAGTCAGAGCTTGTTCTTGCGCTACTCCCTGTATCGTCACTTTGCTCTGTGCATGGCAATCCAAGTCCTAAAACAATCCTTCTATTCGGGTGAACCCAAGAAGGCCCCAGACGCAATGTCTCCGAGATCATCACGACATTTGTCTATGCCCACCCTCGGTGATGATGTCATCGATCCCATGAGCAAGATAAACCGGGAGATTGTAACAGTCGACATGAAAGCAACCTTCGTTCAGGTCAAGGCGGATATGCCCGCTGATCCACCTCTCATGCTACAAATTTATGGATTGGAAGCAGGGAAGCATCGTTGGTCGAGCCCGTTCTTACGATCGCGCCTAGTTCGGCTTTTTGCTGAGAACCCGGCCATCAAACGGGCATGGAGTCGAATCGTCAGTGTCAAATCATTGCGCTTGGACTACCGACAGTCGAAGCTGAGATATGGCCATACTGTCACCGATGAGAGATTGTTCGATATTGCGACGGACGCGATCAGGATTGCTGTGCCTCATCAGTTGGTCATGCATAAAGTCTTCGACAACATCTCCAATGTTGCCAAGACGGTCAAGCAAGTGCATCATCGATTCAGCACTGGTACAAACGAATATGTGTTAGACAAGGAAGCCGAGGGACCCAAATTAGTGCCCAAGATCTCACTGCGGAGCCGTGCACTTTTGTTCGAGCTCGAAGACAATGCATTTGAGTGGAAGCTTGGAACCATCTATCGTATCGGGCTAATGGAGCAGAAACAGAGGCTGACTCGTGAGCATGCTTTCGATTTGAAAGTGCGAAAGCTGCAACAACAAGACGAGCAACGTGGCAACTCGCGCTACCGCGCAAAATCTTCCCATGGAGGCAAAACCAAGAAGAGAGACAAGGAGCTTAGATTTCACAGACGCAGCAAGAGTGCAGAGTCGACTGGCAGCAGTTCACCAGAGCGAGGCCGTTCGGACCACCCTATACGATACAACAAAGATGGTTTTAGTGGTTTGAGTGGCTCACACCGGACTTCCATCCAGGACGCTCGCGTGAAGCTCAATCGCCTGAACGCCCAAACATGGAAGAAACGCATTGATAGTGCAATGGCGGTTGAGTACCGAGCAATGAATGATATGCGCTCAACATTTTGGGGCCTGGACGAGCTGCCAGACGACATTGAGCAAAAGGAAACCATTCTAGCCGTGCCTCAGCGTCCAGCTCTCATGGCACTGGCGGTCAGTGACTTGGAGATTGTCATTGACAAGCCCTCTTTCCCCATCTCAGAGTACCCCCGCTTCTTGAACCGGGTGGGCAAAGGCATGCCGTTTGATACACAATATGCTCTACTGATACCGATGCACGTCCAAGTTCAAATGGGAGAAGCCAAAATCCAGCTCCGAGATTACCCGCTGCCGCTGCTACACTTCCCACCTATCGGCAACATCCAGTCTTCACGACTTCCGAGCATTTTTATGAAGACAGACTTTGTAATAGCGGAGGAGCTCCGGGACATTGAATCTTCGCGTGTCAGTCGGGTTGTTGTTGTACCACAAGAACACAATTCAGCAGGAGAGCTCACAGGTGGCTATGCAGTAGATGTTCGTCGCACGGTAGCACCTGTGAAGACGTATTCCGACATGGCCATCGATATCAATTCTGCATACCCCACCCGGATTACTTGGGGCACGTCGTATCAACCGGCGATTCAAGATATGATGCAGATTATCGAGAACTTTACCAAAGCTCCCGTGGACCCCTCAGAGCGTGTTGGATTCTGGGACAAGATCAGGCTGACATTCCACTCTCGGATCAACGTCTCATGGAAAGGCGATGGCGATGTTCATCTCATTCTCAAGGGTTCGCGAGATCCATACATGGTCACAGGCCATGGCGCAGGTTTTGTCATGTGTTGGCAGAACGATGTCCAGCTCAGTCTCGCTGAGGATGAAGATCCTAGGAATTTCATGATTGTCAAAAGCGGAAGTTATGTCCTTGCTATTCCAGACCTCAATCATTATGCCCGTCACGATGCCGAGACGGAAGCCACGGCCCGCCCAGACACGGCGTCAAGCGGCTCTAGCCGAAAGCAGCGAGCTGTCTTCAAGAAGACAGTCATGAAACTCAACGGCAACGTTCGATGGGTTGCTGGATTAGTCTTTGAGCGCAATTTGGACGACGGCCAACGATCCTTCAACTTTATCCCGCATTACAATGTCACCTTGAAGAACCCACAGTACGCAAAGTCCTGTAATGGAAAGGTAAAGTTGAAATGATGAACTTTTTGAGACTGTACTGATAGAAACTAGGAGTACGATGCCTTTCGCGGCTTCCGCAGCCATCACATTCACATGTCTATTGCCATTGCTGCTCCCTATGACAGGGAATGGTCTGTTGCCAATTTGGAGCCGTCCAAGACCTACAACAGTGTCCATCTTTCGCCTCGCTTCTTCACTCATTTCTACAGCTGGTGGTCCATGTTCTCTGGAGCCATGTCCTTGCCAGTACGTCAAGGCAAGCTATGGCCCGGAGTGGAGAAGTCCAGCAAGAAGTTTGGTCGACATCTTGCGACCATCAAGTACAACCTCTTGCTATCGCCACTTTATATGAGCCATATCTACAAGCACAAAGACATGGAAGACTATGGTGCAGGCATCGTTTGCGCGACTGGACTCAAAGCCCGCCTGGAAAGCTTCATGTTCGACTTGCATCAGCGACGAGAAGAGTTCCGGACACTGGTACAAGCACCCGAAGGCCAGCAGGACAGTCGGCAAAATCAAACTACGGGCATGCGGATAAATCAAGTTCAACTCGACTTTATTCGAACCGATATCCGCGCCGTTTCTGCAAGCATCGCTGGAACAGGGTCAGAAGACATTGAGAGCTCGACTGCCGATGATTACAATAACTATAATCAAGAGTACATGACGGCAGATCTTTCCAAGTTCACCATACCTGACAACGACTTGGGATGGGTGGACATGGACGACTTCATCGAGCTCGGCTGGATTTTGCCTTCACGCAGACATCCTGATACGCAAATCCTGCCGCTTGCATTTGCACCACGCTTTACGTACTTTCGCCAGACTGATCACAACAACAACATTTCAGGCGATGAGAACCGCAAGAGCCCGTTTGGGAATGAGCCTACTCACCACTGCGTGATCTCAGCACGCAACGATCCACGGCGAGTGCAGTGCCATCTGATTGAACAGCGAATCGAGCGTGTGAAGGAGCAGATTGCCCATAACCAGCGTGCAGTAGATGACCAAGAGCTCAAAGCTGTGCGTGTGCCGACGGATGACCAGGAAGAAACACAGCGTCGCCTCGAGACATTGAAAAATCACTCACAGTTCCTGCAACGCAAATTGGAATTCCTGTCTACGATGCATACCAGTTTGCTGGAGCGACTGGAAACGGCGTCAGGTGGTGCGGCCCCTGAGCCTGAAGCTGATGGGGAAGACGAGTACTTCGAGGCAGATGGAGACCAGGAACGATCAGATGGGGACAGCAAACGCTCAAACGCCCCTCCCAACCCAATTACGGATTCGACAAACGAGTTCAACAACCGCTTCATTATCCACAACATCCATCTGAAATGGGGTAACTCGCTACGTGACATTATACTCCGTTACATCCACCAGGTCAGCCAGCGTCGTGGTTTTGTCTATTACATGTCGCGAAAAGCCGTCAAGTTCATACTGGACGTTGTTGAGGAGCAAGGAAAGAACCGAGGATCATCTTCTAATCCCACAGCCGAGAGTCCTCTGACCGCTGACAGCGAGGATGGGTTGAACATTGACGAAGCAATCGAACAGCTACTGCGCGATGGCAAGGAATTTGTCAATGCTGATGAAGAAGATGCCAAGAGCAAGGCTGCATCTGGAACTGGGGTTGGGGCCGATGCCGTACACGCGAACGCCTCCAAAACAGATGAGGATGTCGCAGACGACTACATCTCGCAAAACTCATATCTTGTGCGTCTTATCGCGCCTCAGATACAGTTGCAGAGTGAGAAGGACACAAAATCCGCCGTCCTCGTCACGGCCAAGGGTATCCAACTCAAGGTGCTTTCGATCATGGACAAGAATCGCGTAACGGACGAGGTGTCTGGTCTCGTCCAGCGAAGGTTTGTCGCTGCCATGGACAGTTTGCAGATCTTCGTGACGAATTCGAAGACATTCAGCAGTGCAGACGACATCCACATGTACTCCGGAAGCAGCTATGGATCGCCCGCTGGCTCAGCATGGCCGCCATGGGTACCTTTCGAAGTCATGTTCGAATTCCATACCAATCCTTTTGGATTCCAGCGAGTCGTGCAGCGAACATCAGCAAGTATGCGATATGACAAGTACAACGCGCTGCGTTTGAAGTATAACGACGACGTCTCAGCTGACTCTGAGTCTTCCACCGACCACATGGAAAACAGAATCGACCATCTCTGGGTAGACTTCCCACACGTCCGGGCTATGTGCGATTCGAGGCAATACTACGCCATGTATGTCATTGTTCTTGACCTCTTGCTGTATCACGAACCGCTGGAGAAGACGCGCAACGAACGGCTTGAAAAGATCATGCTGGCCTCCGACTTTACTGACCTTGCCGGAGCTCCAAAGCTGGTGATGGGTCTCCAGGAGCGCATCCAGCAACTGGAAGAGATCAAAACTGTCTTCCAGATTAACGAGAAGTATCTGGACAAGCAGGGATGGGAAGATCGCATCGAAGTTGAGAAGGACTTGGCTGTGTACGAGGATGAGCTATTCTTCGTGATGAAAGCCATCACTACTGCACAGCGCAAGCAGGACGACCGGTCACAGGCAAGAGAGTCCACGGGTCTTTTGAGAATGTATGTCTCAGCCTCAGAGATTGTGTGGCACCTCCTGCGCGAGGGTGCAGAGTCTTTGGCAGAATTCCAGCTCAAGAATGTGGTGTTTGACCGAACTGACAACAACGATGGCTCAAACGCAAACTCCATGGAGATTGAGCAAATCCGCGGTCTCAACCTGCTTCCGAACGCACTTTACCCCGAGATGATTTCACCCTTCTTGGAGAAAGATCAGACGCTACCGGAGAATGCCAAGTGTCTCAAAGTGTACTTTGTGGCCCTGGAATCAATTGCAGGTATCCCGGTCGTGGAGCACTTTGAGGTTGAGCTCTATCCACTTAAAGTGCAGTTGGAATACACGATCGGCAAAAAGTTGCTCCAATACGTTTTCCCCACGTATGGCGACAGCAAGATAGCAAACTCTTCGCCTTTCCTGCTCAAGCATACCCTGCCAACCCAAGATGACGATGATCGTCCTGGCACTGCCGCAAGCAATACCATGAGCATGTCGGTATCAACTGATGAAGGTGCCGTGGAGGCCCTCAAACAACGGCTTACCCCTACACTTCAGCTGCCAGATCCAGCACAGAAGTCCGATGCGAAGAAGAAGAGCCCAACAAAGAGACCGACTGCCCACTACTTCCGTCTCTTCCGCGACAACCCATCACGTAGCGGGACCGAGCTCCGCAGGACACTTCATCCCAGCTCAGCACTAACCGTCCCCACGGTTAGCAGCGCCTCTTCTACTGTGTCCAGACCAGGGTCTGTTCGATCGGGCACCACAAGCTCAAGCCAGACGCTGAACGAGTCTGAACGCACTGCCAAACGCTTCGCACTCTACCGTACTGGTACAGGCTTGAGCGAGAGGCGTGGAAGCAAGAAGGAGACCAGGAACGACGACCTAACCGAGATGATGAACCGAGCCAGTGAATACATGACCGTCGCCTACTTCAAGGTACCGTCTATGGTCCTTTGCCTTTCATACAAGGGCAAGAGTTCGCGTAACTTTGAAGACGTGCACGACCTCGTTTTCAGAATGCCTACGATAGAGTACCGCAACAAGACATGGTCGAACCTGGATCTCGTCACACAACTCAAAAAGGACGTTCTCAGGGCGCTGCTTTCACACGCCGGTACTATTGTCGGAAACAAGATTTCTAATCATCGTCCTTCGTCCAAAGCTCAAACGCGACTCCGACAGCTTGCCAACAACAGCACCATGCTCAATACATCACCCGACCTATCTGGCACAGAGTCCAATTCAGCACGTGATCACTCGCCAGGCGGCGGTTCAGATATCTCGGGCGAAGACCGACAGGGACGCCGCTCCTTTGCCTCTGGTCGACAAGGCAGTCTGATAAGCACTGTGTCGGAAGAAGGCTCATCTTACTACACATCCAAGCCACCCTCTATGACGAATCGAGCGCGATCAACCCATGGATCCATCATGGGAGGCTTCACCAGCAACAACAACAACCTCGGCGTCGACCTGGACGACGGCAGAGCATTTGCAGACGAGCTTTCAAGAGTCGACAACACGGAGCCCGTACACGCAAACCTGATCCACAGCCTGAGCAAACATATTACAAGCGTCAGCTCGCCTTTTGCAGGACACATGCGCGGCCGAGCAAATAGCGGCGCAGCTAGCACCAAGGCCGCGAGCACAGCCACGGGCATCAGCGGCATGAGTGGCATCAGCGGCATGAGCAGTGGCAAGGACGACAACACGGTCGACGACGATGCAACAGGTGGGGGAGGCGGTGGCGACGGGCCAAAAACCAAGAAAGCAAAGTTCTTGGGCAAAAAACTGCTGGGCCGTGGTGGCTAGAACGATGTCTGATTCAGACTTGTACATATATCTATATTGTTTTTTTTTCACTTCTTCTTCTTCGCACTTGTGGCATGGCGCAGCAATCTTCTCTCGCCATTGCATTTTCTTTGGGCTTGGCGCTTTGGACTGGTAGGTGCGGGTGACTGGATGGATGGGGTGTGGAGGTATTATCTCTTCCTCGTACTTCTTCTTGTTCTTCTTCTTTTCTTTCAACCCCTCCCTTTATAGATAATACGTTCTCCTCTGCCCTCCTTCGCTTTGGAGCAGTCTTTTTGACCGTTTTACCGGGCTGCATTGTCGCTGTCTGTCTGTCTGTCTGTCTGTCTGTCTGTCTGTCTGTCTGTCTGTTTGACCGACCGACCGACCGACTGTTTTCACGCCATACCGTACCGACAGCAAGCCGTTAGAACTTTTTCTTTCCTTTTCTTTTTTTCTTCTTCCCCTCATTCTTGTTATTGATCTTGGTTTTGTCCTGCTTTCTGGCTTTGCACATGGGGGGGGGGGCCGTTACAAAAAAGAACAAAAAGTATGTATGTTGCACGTGAGGGATAATTGTTGTTATTGTTGTTGTCGTTGTCGTTGTTGCTGTTTTTTTGTAGATGGGAGGATATATATATATATACACGAGGAAGAGAGATAAGAAAAAAAATCAATTCAAGGGTTCGTTCCATATTACACGTGTACTGTTTCTTGAACTGCGTTACTGTGATTCTTGAGATGTAAGTAGTGCGGAAAACAGAGATGGAGATGATTGGCAAGTATTTTGATTAATTGCGTAACAGACTTCACATAGACTTTTCTACCTATGTTTTCTTCGTATCCTGCTGATTCTCCTTGTCCTTGTCCTTGTGCAAGTCGGGATTAAGTGGTTGCTTTGGATCATAGCCCACTCGCTTGACAATACCCAGGCCTTTTGTCCTGCCCTCGCGGAAGAGGATGCGGTCGCCTACCGTAAGGTACTCTGGGCGCTGGACGAATCGGAAAGCGACCTGCGCGCGGTCACCAGTTCGGATGTACTGGCGATCAATGTCGATGATGGCACAGGTTTGGGATACGGGCCCAACGTGCAACATGGCTTGGTATTTGGTCTTGATGGTGGTTGCGTGGGACAGGATTAAGACTTCGGCGACAAACTCTCGGTAGACCTTTGGATTAGGAAGAACACCAGTTGTTGGGTCGGGTTTGTCGGCCTTGTGCAGCACAACCATGCCTTTTCGTACGTCTTTTCGTCGGACATTGCGCAAGGCAAGACTGGCAGACTGGCCCGCAGAACATCCCGGCACTTGTATGCGTTTCCGCTCAATGGAGCGTACTTTTGTCGTTTGGAACTGGCCCAGACTGTCTGGACCAATCAGGACGGTATCACCCGTGTGTATGACGCCTGATTTCACAACACCTGAGACGACGGTGCCAACAAAGGGAACAGAGAATGTGTCGTTGACGTGAAACTCCAGAGGTGCAGAGCTGTCGTAATTGCCGTGATGTGGTAGCGCATTGAGAAACTCGCGCACCAAGTCGAGATTGTGACCGGTTACGTTGGAGACCTGGAAGATGGGGCATATTCGGCTGGACACAAACTGCGTCGCAGTGTTTATGCACTCCTCTCTATTCTTGACGAATATGGGTATCTTGTGAGCACCCGGCGACTTGAGGATCTTGGTTAGCTGAGTGATGGTTTGCTCAAGAATCTGGGGCGGGCAAATGTCGATCTTGGTGATGACTACCATGACGGGGACCTTCATGGCGAGTGCGATACCGAGATGTTCTCTGTTTTCATTAGAACATGGAACATGCTGGCTTCCGAATTCAGCTTACTTGCTCATGCCAATAAGGCCGTTGTTTGCAGCAATCATCAACAGGCAGTAGTTGGGCTCGCTAGATAGCAAGCCAAAAACCGTGGTGCGCAAGTACCGCTCGTGTCCTGCGAGATCAGAGAAACTAATAACTTTCGCCTGGATATGTTAGAGGTTGTATCAATGCCAACGGGCACCACTTACTGATCGCCGTCCAATCTCTTCCCAGGTAAGCTTTCGGCCAGGGACATTAGAAACGACTACCTCGCTCTTGCTGTCGAAGCCCATAATCTCCATGCCGACCGAGCTGGTTCGCCCGCTTTCGATTTCGTGCTTGTGGCGGAACAGGTTGACACGCGCCTTTCCACGGCCGTCGTCAAGGCCGCCCTTGACCAGGACGCCTAACATGGTGCTTTTGCCCGCATCAACTGCCTGCCATCAGCTTTGCGCGTCCAACTTGGTGCGACATGACTCACCATTTCCCACGACTGCTATCCTCGTTTCAATGACATCGTCGACGCTCTCGGGCCGCTTGCGCAAGATCATCTTCCCACTGCAGCCCGTGTCTTTGGCGTCGCGCGGGCCGACCTCGACATCGCCGCCAACATTTCTTGTCATAAGCATCTTGTAGTCGGCCTTAATCTGCTCGCACGCAAGGGCTATCCTCTCGATTGCAGACTCCCAGACTTCCTTTGTGAAGCCCATGGAGTCGCCCGTGTCCTCCAATCCAACGTCGAACAGAACCTCGCCATGGCCCTCGGCGAGGCGGTCCTTGATATGGTCGGCGAGGGCGGCGACATTCTCCTCTGCAGCGTCGGTCAGAAGCGTCCTGAGGCGAATGTGTGATTTGTTGTCGTCGGAGAGGCCCAGCTCGTCCAGGACGCTCAGCTCGTCGTGGTCGTCGAGCACGGCGGGGGCCTGGCCTGGCGGTCTTCGCAGCGCCTGCTGCTTCTCTACATAGTCGGCGAATTCGCTCAGGGCCTTGGCAGGTCAGGACTATTCTCACAGGCGCAACCGGGCTACATACCGACTCGCCCTTTCGCCGCTCAGCAGGGCTCTGTCGGGGCTCGTGTCGTGATGCCATGCTGTTGTTGATGTGGGGGAGGGGGAGTGACAGTGTCAAGTCGTGTTCAGTATGCGCAGGGTCCGTCGTATCAGGAAGACGTCTGGTATTCGCGATATTCGAGTGCGGTGTGAAAGTTCCATGGGATGTCTTGCCGCGAGCATTGGAGGGTGGCGTATGCTGGATGACGCTGGAAAGTGGAGGATGCTAAGGGAGATCCGGGGTCGGGCAGCCGGTACTTAAGCTCGCTATCGATAGACGCGGTGGCTGCGCCTGGGCGACATGACGCTGACACTCTGTTGTAGCGTGTTTCCTGACTCACCAACAGAGTCAGCCCGCGCCAGGCTCCCGCCGCAATTATCTTGAACAGTCATGGACAGTGGAGCTTGCGCCCTCGGTGCGAGTGCGTCGCATTGCAGCATCGCCAAGAAGGGCGCAGACACGGATACTTACACACGAACATAACACGACACTCGCCACTGGCAGCCAACGGCTCAAGCAGACATCACGACATGGCGGGCGACATGAACATGCAAGTAATCGAAAATGGGTGGTATCATGTGACGTCCTCGTGCACCTAATCCTACACTGCCATCCTTAGCCCTACGAGGCCGCAACCCCCCGCTCCCCACAGTACTTGGCCACCTCCTTCTGCAGCGTGTCGCGCTGGTTATTGACAACCTCCATAATGTCGCTGACTCCGTTGACCGACTTGCAGTACTCGTATGTCTCGGCAATCTGCATGAGCACCGCCGTGAGCTGGTTTGGCAGCCACTATCACCAGTCAGCAACCGCCGTGGCAGAGTGCGGGGAGAACTTACCGTGACAATCGGACTGCCGCCCGTCGCAGTGGGGTGCGATGTGTGCTTGAGAATGTACTCGCGCGTGAAGCACCAGTGCCGCCAGCGGAAGTCGCGCACTTGGTCAAGAGCCTGGAGATAGAGAGCCGCTGAGATGGAGTCGCCCTTTGCAAACTCACGCACGCCGGCTTCTGAGGCCGCGTCGCGCACCGCCTCGAGAAACTCACGGTGGTTGCCAGGCCGGTACTGGCGGAAGTCCTTGAGAATGTCTGTGAGAGGCGTCTCGGGCATCTGTACTTGCAGCAGATTGTCGCACATGGGAATCATGCTGTCGTTTGCGCCAGACTCGCCGCGGAACGACATGGGCTCGTCGCTCACGCCCTCGTAGATGACGCCGTTGGGGAACATGGACTGCGATGTGATGCCGAAGATGAATGTGCGGAAGTTTGTGTAGCCTTGAGGCTTGCTGCGGTTCCACATGGCTGCGTCTGTCAGTACATGATATACCCCAGCCAGACGATTAACTTACTGTTCATGACTCCGTTGACTTTGCTTAGTCCTCCAACAAGCAGGCGCAGACCGTCGTTGAACGCCTCCCGATCACGCGCCATGCAGCTCTCAATCATATTGGCAGCGCCCTTGACGAGAGCACCAGACTCCTTGACCATGGCAATGTGCACGAGGACGAAGCCCGCCTCTGACGAGGTAGGGTCCAGCCCATGCTCAAACGCACGAACTAACCGAAGGTTGTCGTACTCGAGACCACGAGCGGGGTCTTCAAGACGGTAGTTGAAGAGAGCATATGAGCCAGCGTACTCCATGAACGGCTTGAAACCAGCACTGCGCACGTGTCGTCAGCAGGACCACCATGAAAGATCACCAACATGGCCAACTTACAGCTCGGCTACCTTGACAATAGGCAGTGCAATGCATCTGGGGAGCGACTGACGGGCCAGACCATACTCCTCGCCCCTGATGTGCCTCTCATGGCAGGGCTCAAACAGGTACGCCGACGCCAAGAAAGAGTAGTCGCGGTACAAGGCATTCATGACAACAAGGTCGTCCTTGTACTTTTCCACCTCAGGAGAGAGGTCAGGCAGCTCCTTCAGCACCGTCTCACCAAAGGTGAACTTGGCGAGCAGACCTGGCTCGCCCGACAGTGTCTTGATAGGCATGCGCTGCAACAGCGACTCGAGGACTGCAAACTCCTTGGGAAGCTCGACAACGGGTTCTTGACGGGGCAGAAACCCCCGTGTGGTAGAAACCATGAAGGCAGGGAGAGAGTGGTCCTCGGGGCGCGTGTCGTGCAAGACGGGAAAGGTAAACTTGGGAGACGCCATGATGAGCTGATATGGACAAAGGAAGCCAACAAGCAAAAGAAGCAAGCAGAAGGAGACTCGACTTGTATTCCACAAGAGCTAGGCAGATCGCTGGTGTGCTGTTGCTGCTGCAGTGTGTTTGATATGGAACAAAGAAAAAACTCCAGATGGGCGGGCTCCTCGCACGCTTATATCTCGTGGCCGGAATCAAAACCGGCCACGGAAACGTACCGGCCTCACCAAGATAAGACGTACGTAATGGCTGGATCATTTGTCTCCATCTGCAAACTCGGACCCGGAACCTTCCTGCTACTGCTCGGGACGCTTTCCCCACATCCCCCAGAGTCTCTCTCCTACATGGCTTGCCGTGGGTCAGCTCGTCGCCGCCAAGACCTGGCGATGCTGGAGGGGGGAGGAGACTTGTGGCGGCGCAACAAATGTTTAAGCTGTTCATTCTAGTCAAGACGTGTCTAATCAGTGTCAGTAATGCTTTTGTTTGTGGTAATCATGGATTTGAGTTGGAGAGGTGTGGTTGGTGATGAAGTGTTGCATTTTCTCACACTGCACGATAAGTACGTATGTACCAGCAACAGCGCCGACACACTTTCAAGCGCAAACACTTCATTTAATAATTCCTACTACCTTTTCTTTCTCCAGATCTCTACATCTTCTATCTTCTGAAAATACTATACCATTCATCATTCCCTTGACACTCCAACGCATCTCTATCCAAACGCGCCGCAGCACCTCGTCTCGTCACAGGGCTCTCTACTATCTCTCTCGCTCCCTCGGCCCGACTCGCATTTCCCACCCCAATCTCGCACACCGCACTCTTCACACTAGCCACACACACACACACTCCAGCACCCATCGCACCACGACAGTCTCTTTCATTATTACTTTATCTCGCCTCTGCATTTAGAAAATAAAAAACCCCTCCATGTATTCAGTGCTTTCAGATGCAAAACCACAACAGCCAACCGCACAGCCAAACACACACCACCAGCCAGCCAACCAACCACAGCAGATATAATTTCACAGTTTAATCCACACAAGCGACTTATTAGCAGGAACCCTACCAACCGCCATGCATGCATGCATGCATACACACATAACGTATGTGGCAAGCGAGCGCCGCAGGCAAGCGAGCGCCGCACCCCACCAAACCTGCGCACCTCTATAAGCCTGTAGTTCCACCACAATATAGTTGTTTTACTACATATTAACATAATAGATTAAGCAGTACCTAGAGTATCTTTCTTGCACGTACGCGAGTTATGGCCAGTCTCTCTGCACCTACTACAGCGCGCCAAAGCCTGGCGGCTAACNCCTGATCGCTCTCCTACTCTGACG